CTTGCTCTGCACAGAAAATATAGTATTAGTTAGCATTTTAATGTTTAACGGGAATTTCCATTAAAAGTATTAAAAATGGACTTAGATTTTTCACAATCCAATTACACTATTCATGAGAACTGCATTTATTTTATTCTTCTTTTTAAAATGTACTGCAAGAACAAAAGTATCACCCTCCTGAAGATACTAACTGCTTCATTTTTTGTGAAGTGCCTAAATGTTCATAAAGTTCTGCCCACCGTATCTCACTCAAGTCTCCTTACTCACCCCTGTAAGACAGACATGTTTATCTCCATTTAAAAGGTGAGGATACCAAAATACAGAAGGTTTCAATTATCAAACTAAACCAAAAATGTGACTCAGAGTCTTTGACTCCCAATCCAGTGGTCTTTGCACTTCACCCTGGACAGCTCGTTCATATTAGTTGAGATCTCAAATAAAGATAGAAAATTCTAGTTTTCCTCAGTGTCATAGTAGGCATAAAGATGCTTTAGAAGCTATAATGGATCTGCCACAAGTAGAGAAGGCAGTGTAAAGAGCTAGGCCAGCTGCAAACAAAAGGCTGGAGAAAAAAGGACTCCCCTAAAGAGAAAACTCCAGCTGGAGTGTTTAAGGGATCTCAGACATAAAGAAGCTGGGCTGGCAGAACAACTTGCCCCACAGAGGAAAACCTTCATGGTGATAACTGGGCTCATCTAAAAGGGAGAGTGTTGGAAACTTCGAGACAGAAAGACCTTCAGTGGCAGTAGGAGAAACAATGACCCCATATTCAGTCCATTTAATGAACTGATGTTTACCAGATGACATGTGCATTGCAGAAGAGCACTTGATAGCTTTGCCGTGGTATTCTCCTAAACCTTGGGTTGCTTCCCAGTAGCCTTCACATCCTCAGTCACTTTTTGCTTCTTTTTCCTGCCTGCTAACCTGGAGCAGAGTTCAGCTGTGAGCCGGCTTCATAACTTCACTCATGCCACACGTGTAAATGTCTCCCAAGTGTTATCCCTAAACCCAGCTATGACCCTTTGGTCCTGTCATTGTCTACACAAGGGACCTGACTCATGACTACCCACCAATGGGAAGTGTGTTGGGATTTTTCTCCTCAAATTCTGCCTCCATCAGGACCACCCTCCCCAGAAAGTTATCAGTGGGATCTGGGAGTCTTGAAGGAGGAGACATAGGAAATGTTCCAGGCCATTGAGGAAGCCGACAAAAGCATAGAGATGAGAGTGCAGGAGGCTGGGAGCCAGGAAGGGGCCGACCTGACAGGCCAGGGGCTGGTGTTGTGAGGGATAAATGTAAAGGAAGCTGTCTCCCTAGGCTAGGACCTCAGGAGGAAGGGCTTGGACTGTCAAGGGGAGGAGATTGGACTCAATCTGCTGAATAACCAAAGACAGATGAGGGACAAGATAACTTATTTTTGGAAGATTAATCAGACTGTATGAACCATGGGAAAGGAACACGGAGAGACACAACCAAATGCTAGAAATAAGGGAGGCACTAAATGCCTAGACAGGACAAAGCAAGAAGGCATTAAGGAGCATTTTCTGACCATAGTGACTGAGAGAAAAAAGACAAGAGAAAATGATTTTGAGTTCTGTGTATCATTCCCTCCACTGTGAGAATACAGACAATGATTAACACAGACCTACTGAGTTGGGATCTCTTGAGGGTCAGGGTGAGTGTGTGGTTTCTAAAGGCTCTGCAAGCTCTCACCACGGAGAACCACTAGCCTGTGGAGCAAAGCAGGCAGGTTCTGGGCTGACTACCTTTCCGTTAGCTTTCTTGTACTTCTGAGTCAGTCAGAAAGCTTAGCCCTCTGCTAGGAGATGGGGTGGTACACACCAGAGGCAGCAGCTTACGCTAATCCAACACTTCCTAACACTGGAATCCTAACTGTGCTTCTGACAGCAAGAACCATAAGAATTCAGGGAAGGAGGTGGGGACTGTGGACTAGGGCATCAGCCGGAGAGCCCTTCCTAGAAGAACTGGGACATAGCCCAGACCTTAAAGAATGGCTGAGCTGTAGCTGCAGACAGAAGGGTCAGTGAGCTGATGAAAAGTGGACAAGGCATTGCATGGTACGGTTTTGAATAGGATATGTGGGTACTACGTTTAGGTAGCAGAGGAGGCCAGATGACCCCAGTCTCCCTCCAGGTTGCTCCTCTGGACGAGGCTGGTGACCCTCATTGAAGCCATGGGCAAGCACAATTTACCTTTGCTTTTCTGCTTCTCCCATCTCTCCTAGTTGTAGCTGGCCCTCTTCAACCATGCCATACCTTTAACTCTCCCATTCTGTTTTGAGTATAGGTTAAATGCATTCACACTAAGATACAATGACACTTAATCCCTTTTATTAGTCTGGCATATTAAGAAGTCTTTGTATGGTGATGTTACTTATAGAAACCTTATTTCACTCTCACTACAATCCTATGGACTTGGAAGATCAGAGATTGTTCCCATTCTTCAGGGAGGGAAAGAAAGGTTCAGAGAGTCTAAGTGGCTGCCTCAAGATCACAGAGATACTAATGGGAGATTTTGACTGAGGGACTGGAACACAGTTTTCTTTCTGCCACCCTGTTCAGCATCTTGCTGCAGTATTTGCATTTCAACAGGGATCAGAGCCCTGTGCTAATGACATGTGGCCCTGAGGATTTCAGGTACCAACCCAGAGATAGGAGATTGATTATTTCAGCGAAGCCCTGAATCATACTACATGAGTTACTGCCTTTGCCTCCATATGACCTGCCAGGTGTGTGATCACAGGCAAGTTAGAGAAAATTGTCTAAATTTCATTCTTCCTGTTTATAAAGTGGAAATGACTGTATCTGCTTCATAGGATTTTTCTGACAATTTGCTGAAATACCACTTGGACAATGTCCTTGTCACACAGTAGACCTCAATAAACCTCATTTTCTCTCCCCTCTCTCTGCCTCATTTCACCTACATATAAGGCAAACCATGCTAAGCCAAAACTCCAGGCTCACCCAGCCCTGCAAAGACCCTTCTCATTGCCTCCTCTTTGTTTTTGCTCTTAGCCATTTCTCTCTCCCCCTCAATCCCCGTGTCCAACCACACCAGCCTTTCTTCACTTCTCAAACGAGCCAAGCATGTTCCCTCCTCAGTACTTTTGTGCACGCTGGTTCCTCTGCCTGAAATCTACTTTGACCACCTCTTGCCCTCAGTCCTTATGCTCTAGCTGTAAGCCCACGTGTCACTTCTTCAAGAAGGACTGAAATAGATTCCTCCTTTTATTCTTTCTCATTGCATCCTGTACTTTTCCTTTGTTATTATAGTTTGTGGGTGTATGTGAATCCTACATTTACTAGTTCAGTTTCTTTCTTCTCCACTAGACTACAGCCTCCCAAGTTGGCCACTATCTCCAGGGCATGCAGTATAGAATCTAGCGCATTAGACACGTTCCATCTTTGTGGACTGTGTGTTGGATGAACGCTGCTCTTCTCTCTCCATTTTGGAATGCCCTCCTACAGCCTCCTTACCAAATCGTGCACTACATGCCACAAAGAAAGCATTCGCATCGAGCCCACTTACTGACCATTTCCTTCGTTTTCTTTCCTCAACCTGTATTCATATGCTATCATGAATTAGGTGGCATTCTCAGGTTGTTTCATGATTCTCTAACCACATTATTAATTTTCCAAGGGCAACAACTCTTTCAGGATCTTTTTTTGAATCCCTCATAAACCTGGTAGAATAGCTGGAAGTGCTGTCAGTGCTCAGTAATTTCTTGATGAATGAATGAATCCCAGTATAATCCTTTTGCACAGAGAAACATCTTTACATAGCAAATATGGAGATGCCATTGCAGCAAAACAGTTTCTAACCACAACCCATTGCTGCAGTCCCTTTTTTTGGGTTACTATTTTGAGTTTCAATGAGAAGCAAACAATCTTATCTTGAAAAGGGGATTGGATTTATTTTTAATAAGAAAGCCTGAATTGGAAGCCTGCATTTCTCCCCCAAATTTAATAACAGCACTAGTAAAGCCTTATATTCCTCAGCTGGCCTTATTTCAGGTGTAAGAGTACAAAACTTCCAGGTGAGCGTTTGTCTTGATGTTAGAGCAAGATTCGTAACACCAACCCCATTTAAATTCATTGAGAGCCAGGAGGGGGTCACATAGCAAGGGTATCCAGTCTGAGCATGTTTTGAGAATCAGTCAGTCCAATCCAGGAGGAGCTGAAGGGAAATGTCAGGTTACTCAGAGCCACTGTCCTCAAACATTTGAGGTCCTGAGAGTTACCGCTGATAACCTCAGAGAAATAGCTTTTGCTCTTGCCCCCTTCCTCCATTCACAACTATAACAAGACAAAACAAAAAGCATATCAGCAAAACATGTCATTGTTATACCCCAATGACAAGTTACTGAACAGGGTTTCAATTTCTACCTTCAGTGTACTGGTTGCCCTGCTGGTAAACCTCAGGTTCCTCAGTTGCTCATTTTTATCAGTATTCTTTGAATGATTAACAACAAAACCAAATATATATATATATATATATTATACATGCATTTATATATGCCTTTAAAATTATATATGCATTTGAATTTACTTTGTCAATTGCCCAGCAAGTTCTGTCTAGGTAGTACCTTCGCTCTAGTTTAGTATTAGATCTTATAATAACACAGGCCAGGAAAAGAAAGGTAAGTTTGGCTAAATACCCGTCACACC